CTGTCCTTACAAGACGATCTTAATAACTTGGCTAATTGGAGTGGATCTTGGAGTGACGTTTGGCTCGGTGTTTACCTTTGTGAATCACATTAACTATGTTATCCCTAAAGCCTACTCTAACCTAGACTTTATTCGCCGCTATGGAAGGGACTTTTAATATCCGTATACCCGGAGAACTTTAGTTAATTCTTTAGTACGATCAAAATTGGAAGTGCTCGCTGTTTACTAATAGGGAGGAAATCACTTGAATCGAGAAGATCCATTCAGTCCCTGATCTTCTTTTATGAAACCATTTCTGGTCTCATTGATTGCCCGGAGCTACGGAGCGGAAGTGCTCGCTGTTTACTAATAGGGATGAAATCACTTGAATCGAGAAGATCCATTCAGTCCCTGATCTTCTTTTATGAAATAATTTCTGGTCTCATTGATTGCCCAGAGCTACGCTTTCAGTATTCGTTTCATGTCAATCTAATCAAAGCCAATTGCCATTATTTTTACAACATTGCCAGTGCCCTTATTGAATTCCATGGTACAATAAAAACAGGTAGAAGCCAAATTGACATCAAACCTACAAAAGTCAAAGTTTTCGGGAGAGTAAAAATAAAAATGAGCGTGTGTAAGGAAAAATAAAAAATTACATTTCGCTGGTTGACGTTTTTGAGTAAATTTGAAGTTTTGTTTCTATTTATTTATTTTTCTTTAGTTAAAATTTGTTAATTTGTATGTTGTTTTATGTTTTTAATTTATGAGTTGCAGTGTTGTTGGAGGGACTTTCCGGCATAAGGGTCATAGGAACAGCACTTGGCATCTAACGTGCCTTTCCTGTACCTCCCGGTGCATTTATGAAATCTGCTGTTTTAAAATGTTTAACGCACAGCAAGGCATTTCGCTGCAGCTCTGGCCCACAGCTGCTTTCGCAACGCTCTTTACGCGAAGGACATTGAGGCACGTTAAATGGTATCTGCTTCATATTTAACACCACATAAAAAACAACGCTTCGGTGTTGCATTTTTAACACATACATTAAGTATAAACTGCACAACACTACAAAAATTCAAATGTTAATTAAAATTTGTTATTAACGAACATTCAAAAAAAAAAACAACGATATGACATTCAAAGCGTAACGAAATATAGGAAATAAATGAAAAACAAGTTGAAGTTTAAAGGTTTGGTTCTCATGAGAGCAACGTCATTTTGGCTTCTACCTGTATTTATGTGCCTTGATTGAATTCAATCGAATATTTAGTAGCCTTGATCTGGATTTTGCACTCCCGAGATCCCGTTTTGGCTCTCTGATTGAATCTCTATATTCTTTAGACTTACATTTTTAGTAAAGTTAAACTTGTGAATCAAGTCTGTAAGGTTTATACAATCATGGACTCAATAAATAAAATGAAATGTAATGAAATTAAATGAATACCCATTCTGAATTGAATAGTGTAAGTAAGAGCGCCACTTTTTAATTTAATAAACGGTCATCTTAGGATAGCCCAAGATTTCAGTTCAATCTTTTCATGGGACCCATCAACATTGAGCGCGTTTATGACTTGGGGCTTCAGCGGAAGGGATAGATGTTTTATGTTGTTACATAGAACTGTCGAAATCGCAGACTCCTGTAAAATACACCACAAAAAAATCAATTTCAAAAAATAGTACATATTACGAAATCGTTTGATAAATTTTAAATAACGAACGTACATATAAATCTCAGTTGCAGTTCGAGTATACCTGGAAGTATCTGGCGACTGGTGCATTTTGGGCTTATTAGCGCGCTAGCTGCTCTGTAGTGATCTTCTGGCTAGATATTGCGTCCTTGATTGTGCTCTAAAAAAAATGATTTTAAGCGCAGTATAAATATCGCATACGGGTTTTGCACAAATTCAGAATACCGAGTTCTCACCAAATTTATTTTTGAATACCAAAGTGATTTTAGTAGTAGTAGCAAATACACAATGATCAGGTGAATAAACGTGTAACACCTCTGACAGCCAGTTTCACCAGATTAATTTAAGTGAAAATTACTTTGATTTTCGAATATTTGGTTTCACCAATCCATTTTAATTTGTTTTTAATTTCGATTTAACAGCCAGTTTCACCAGATTCATTTAAGTTTGATTTTCGAATTTTTGGTTTCACCAATCCATTTTAATTTGTTTTTAAGTTTGATTTAAGTGACCTATGCTCTTCACTTAAATAAAAATTAAATCAAAATAACCACACTCAGAGGTGTTACACGTTTAATCACCTGATCATTGTGTATCTGCTGCTTACTTGCATACCAGCTCTGCTTTTACAACAAAGTGTGCCAAAGCTTTCAAAAGCTCTCAGTACAAATGAAAGCGTTCGCTGGCCTAGTCTGTTTTACAACCACTTTTTACTCGCTTAAATAAATAGCTTATTGAAACTGAAAATAATTTAAATGAGAATTAAATAAAAAATTAAATTAAAGTTAATTTCCACTTAAATGAATCTGGTGAAACTGCCTGTAAGTGACCTATGCTCTCCACTTAAATAAAAATTAAATCAGCCTCAGGCTGCGTTTCTTCAAACTCACTTAAGTGGAAATTAACTTTAATTTAATTTTTTATTTAATTCTCATTCAAATTATTTTCAGTTTCAATAAGCTCTTGAGCAAAAAGTGTTGGTAAAACAGAATTGTCAAGCGAAAGCTTTAATTTTGTGCATGTCTATATAAATTGTAGCTTTTGAAAGCTTTGGCACGCGTGTGTTGTAAAAGCAGGGCTAGTATACAAGTAGGCAGCAGATACACAAAATTTAGGTGTGTGTATATAGATCAGCTGATTAAACGTGCAACATCTCTGACAGCCAGTCTCACCAAACCCATTTATGTGGAAATTAACTTTAATTTAATTTTTTTATATAATTCTCATTTAAATTATTTTCAGTTTCAATAAGCTATTTATTTATTTTTTTTATTAAAAATAATTTAAATTTTTTTCAAAAAGGGGTATTTTTTGTTGTTTTTTTTCTCAAAAGAAAGCTTAGGTATTTATCTTTAAGAGCTTTTATCAAAGAAACCAATTGTAAGTAATTAGTAAAGGATCCTACTGAGGAATACCAAGCCGCAATAAAAGAGAATTTAAAGAATTCTACAAAAATAATAAAGGCGGACCAAATACATACTTTGACAACTATGAATCCATCAGCTCCTCCAATGAATGCACTACCTAAAATCCACAAATGAGGCACACCTATGAGACCAATCATAAATCACAAATCGGCCCCAAGCTACAAGCTATCAAAATATTTAAAAACTATACTAAAGGATAACCTTGGATTGCCCAATAAGTACACAATGGATGCATTTCTTTATTCATTCTGAATGTTTGGAATAAACTTTTTTGTTTACTTATTCTTTAGAACGTTCCTGATGATATGTTAACGTATATTTCAAACGCATTCTGTTTATTCCGGCTGTGAAATGGGATTATCCGGAATGTATAAAGAAACGCAGCCAATATCTAGTACAACGGAACTGATTGAAAAAATAAGAGACTCAGTTATAACGATGGATACTAAACTGGTATCATTCGACATAAAAAAATCTATACCCATCGGTACCCATAATGGAAACAATAGATATCCTATTCAAAATACTGACAGAAAAAACAGCAAACAGAGAAATCGCCGTGGAGATAACTAACATTGGGTGATTTGCGTCACATAAGTGGCACGGCACGACGAAGCGATGGGCATTCTTTGCGGCGTTTCGCTTTACTGCACTGAAGCGGGTCATGGTTGTCTGAAATACGCTTTTTTTATTTAGGTGCCTCAGTTAAGTTATATTTTTTTTTGTACGTTGTTGTTGGGTAGCGAGCGATTAAATATATAAAAGTAAAACGGATCGGCGAGAAAGTTTCGTTTTCCTTTTGCAAATCTTAAATTTTACGATCTAAGCAGGGCGTTCTTGGGCATATCGAAATTGGAAACTGGCACGTGTAAACGCAGAATTACCCATGTATTGTGGTTGATGGGTCACACCGGTGCTATATATTTTCCTATGCAGGGTTGTACCGGAAGACAAAAAAATAAATGTCGCCCTGACATTATGACAATTCTAAAGGCTCTGTTATGCATACTTGGCATTGCATGCACTGCTATACCATTTTTACGTAGAAATCAAAAACCTACAGACTTTTACGTATGTAATACTGTGCGTTGGGTAACCGCTTACACGCGAAGCTCATTTAACAGATTCCTTATGTGACAACTCTCAAGCAATGCCAAGTATGCATAACGGAGCCTTAACAAATTTCAGAGGCAACATGAGAAAGTGTCAAACTGAGGGCATTCGCAAGAAATTTGTTTTTGTTCAGCTGATTTGTTATTTTTTTTCCAAATTGATGGCTTAAATTCTGCCAATGTAAAACAAAACTTTCTTTGTACTTTGGAGACTTTTGTTTAGCCAAGATCGACACCCAACAGCCTGGGGGCGGAAAAAAAAAAGTTTAGGGTGCCACTGTATGTTACCATTGCCAAAAACAGGGTAGCTCATATCCCAAAAAATTGCAAGTGTAATATAAAATTTTTGGTAAAATTCTTATGTACCAGCCAATTTGTTTTGCGCAAAAGAAAGTAGAGTATCTAGAGGCAAAATTAGTGCATACGTATCTGAATACGACACGGCAAAAAGAAGACAAAAAATATTTGCAACGATAGCCTTCTTAATGGCTGACGACAAAGCGCGATAATTTAACCGACCTACTACGTGCACCTGGTGGCATTTATTTAAGTGTGGTTACTTCTGTCTACAAGTGGCAATTAATGAAATTTATTTTTATGAATGATTTCATTACAAGCATGTGAAAAAAAATTATTTCTCCACAAACGAGAAATAGATGGCGCCGCTGGAAGTTATGTAGTAGCGGCTTTATGCGGAGACTTAAGTTGACATTTCTACTCAGCGGCTCACATTACGATTTCCTGAATGAAAAAAAAAACATTCAATCGATGGCCACATGGAGTAAAACAGTAAAATGGGTGAGTATGTCTTTTATTTCTTATATAATGTTCAGTAAATGCTCTAGTTCTTCAAAATATTTCTTTTCTTTTTTCTTATCAGTGCAATACAGAATTAAAAAAAATTAGAAGGCAGAGGAAAATTGCTGCATTGTTTCATAATCAACATTTACGATAATGGTGGCGATTTTGAAGATGGCGACTATGATGAAGACGTCGAGACACGTCCGCCACCTTATGTGCGTGCAAACGGTGTATCGCATGCACAAGACGGTTTCCACCCAGCCGATTCAAATTCTGTGGAATCTGACTCGCAGTTGACTACTGGCGGAGGCAGCAAACGTTCGCAGCAACTAGTTTATAACAATAACACTGGTCTACAAGGGTTTTGCGAATAAGACGGGACCTGGTGTTTCCGAACGGATTTTTCGTGCTGAACACGAATCTGGGGTCCAAAACTTCCCATCACGTCACGTTTTCGAGAAAAAAGGGGTTGAAACCCCTAAAAACAGCGTTTTTGGCCATTTTTGAAAAATTGTAGAGCTGAACCCTGACGTGCTACAAACTTTGTATATGTCAGAAATTAAAGGCTAAATCGTGCCCTTTCGAATGAGCCCTATGCCGAATTAATCGCATGCACCCTTAGATCAGGGGGTGTATTTGTGTCTAGGAGTCCAATTTTTATATCCACCATATTCGACCCGTCATCTTAAATTTTTAAAATCTAACTGCAGATTCGTAATCAGCGACTTTTAATATAGTTAAAACCTTGGCATTATTAATTTTCTATGATCGTTTAAGATTAAATTCTTTCTGTGATCAATTTTTCCTGCACCCCTAAACACAAATACACCCCCTGCTTTAAGGGTGCACGCGATCAATTCGGCATAGGGCTCATTCGAAAGGGCACGGTTTAGCCTTTAATTTCTGATATATGCAAAATTTGTACCACGTCAGGGTTCAGCTCTATAATTTTTCGAAAATGGCCAAAAACGCTGTTTTTAGGGGTTTCAACCCCTTTTTTCTCGAAAACGTGACGTGATGGGACATTTTTGACCCCGGATTCGTGTTCAGCACGAAAAATCCGTTCAGAAACACCAGGTCCCGTCTTATTCGCAGAAAAAAAGTTGAAATTTGTAGACCAGTGTAATGACACATCTATTGTAAGTCATCGCGAAGGCACGCCAATAGGAGAACTTACGCCACACGAGGAGATTCTCTATTTGCGCCGACAATTGGCTAAACTAAATCGTCGCGTGCTGAACATCGAAATCAACAATGAGCAGCGTTTACAACGCGAAAAAATCGTATATTGTTTGGGCTTAGCATACTTTGTATTGAAGGCTGTCTTTTGGCTAAATCGTAATTGGAGCTTATGCAATATTTAAACGCAACAGAAGTGCAGCAGCGACGCATTAGTTTGCCATGCATTTTCGTAGTATTTTGAAAATCGTTACAATTTATTAGGGATTGACGGAGGATGTAAACTACGAAACATCTTATTTGGAGGGAACGTAACGCAAATTATCCACTTATTGATATATACCCTGAATTCCAAAATGCAAAAAATACATACCATCAGTCTCTTTCATTCAAAAATTATTGCAGATTAAAATGACCAGCTTGCACAACCTTGTATCTAGCATTGCGGCCTGGTTGTGAATATTATTGGACAGTTCCATCTGCTGTGGTGTAGAAATGAAAGACTTGCTTTGTATTTTTGCATTTTGAAACCCAGGAGTACATACCTATGTACATAAAAACGTTGATCACCATTTTTTTTTGTATTGACAGCAATGGAGAAAGTGTGTATTTGAATTTAATCTAATTGTCTTTGAACACTTTGATTTTTATTAGTCTAAAAATTATGCCGATACTCTCATTTTTATAAGCATATATCGAAATAAAAGGGAAGTGACCAATGTGACGACTATTTGATTGTTTTATAGAGAATCCGATACGATACCGAAAGTACTCGGAACTCGATTCTCAAAAGGATCGACAGTAACCAATTTTTAAAAGTATCTATACTGAGTACTCCAAAGCAGCATTCAATCGACGTTATTTGGGATTAATATATTAATTTGAATAAAGTCCTGCCAGCTAGTGAGATTTTCTTACTAAGCATTGAAATGTTACCAACATATGTATATGTAAAGAAAGTACTCGAATCTCACAAGTACTCGATACTCCCAACACTAAACATAATATAATGGATTTGCATTATACCAACTCAAGACTCAAGCATACATTCCGAATTATGTTACCTTTGCCCAGGTGAGGACTTAGCATCACACCTTAATCCGCAGGTGAGTGGTAAATTTAACGTGATACCATGTGTTTATAATTTCTGTAAACTCGATTTAGGAACCGAACCTTCTGTAACTAAATGGAAACGGCAGTTGAAATATACGGGTTGCAACGAGGAGCTGTCTTACGATTCTTCTATCTAATGGTTAGACTTCGAGGATCTCTGCTATGTGTAGGTGAGTGATGAAAAGATTTTCATATGATTTATTGAACATGTTGTTAGAAACCCAGGCGAGTTGATATAGGGTGGTGTTATAGGACCGGCATATGTGTGTTTTTGTTGTTGCCCCTTTTTTATATTTCAAATACGCTTGTAGGCAATTGTGAAAATTTTTCGACAGTATATATATTGAAATATTGTCGGCAATGGGCTGGCAATTGTCACTCTGACAAAATTGTCGCCACAATAGCGAAAAAACTAAATAGCCGCGTCGGAGAGCTTTCACAGGAGAATTTAGTGAATTTATTTATATGGTAATTGCGCGCATTTCGTTACCTTTTTACTTTAATTTGAATGTTTCTCAAAACTAAAATAAAGCGCAAATGCAATTATTACATATGAATTTCATATAAATTTCATATGACTGGCGTCAATTTTTCACCGATAATTTTAAACCCGACAATGACACTTTTTCACATTTTCAATGGAATCTCTCATGAGGTATAGAAGTGGAATTTGTATGGGTACTGACGGAGTGGAATATTGATGTAGTTGGTGTCTCGTTGAGAGGGTTAGGTAATCATATAAGGGGTAGAATCAAGAAGCATTCGGTGGCTTCTCAATTCTCTCGTTGTACGGTGGCAGTAGGATAAGTTTTGCCAGCGGTCGTGTTACCTGACCCTTCTCTGTGGTGATGTCCACCACACGCACTCGGTTGTCGGAACCGGGGTGCAGGTTGATTACTCTGCCTAATCTCCATTCGTTAGGCGCTAAATTGTCCTCTCTTATAACGACGAGATCACCGATCTCCATATTCTGCTTTGGATTTTTCCACTTAATTCGCTTCTGTAGTTCGCCTGCAAAAGGTTTGATGTAAAGCCTTTAATTTCTGCCACCTATTTATTATGGAGGCTGGGTTTTCATTTACATCTAATTCCGGTGGCGCGAGTAAATGACCGCCTATGAGGAAATGACCGGGAGTTAGAGGCTCCAAGTCAGTTGGCTCGTTCGATGAGGGACTTAACGGTCGCGAGTTGAGACAAGACTCAACTCGGCATAATAAGGTACTGAGCTCCTCAAAGGTGTATTTGTGGGTGGATGCAATCTTTTTGAAGTGGTTTTTGAAACTTTTTACACCCGCCTCCCACAGTCCGCCCATGTGAGGAGCTGCTGGGGGTATAAAATGCCATGTAAGTGTTTGATGACTATATTTCGATATGGTTTTATCACGCGCTTCTGCTATGAACGCCTTCATTTCAGATCGTAATGATCGAGAAGCTCCGACAAAATTGGTACCGTTGTCGGAGTACATGTTTTTCGGACATCCTCTTCTACCAACAAACCTAGCGAATGCTGCCAGAAAGGATGGGGTGCTGAGATCGCTTGTCGCTTCTAAGTGAATTGCTTTAGTCGTAAAACAAACGAAAAGGCAAACGTAGCCTTTGGAAATGCGGCAACCGCGGCCGCGATAGCTCTTAATCTCAAAGGGCCCGGTAAAATCGACACCTGTGTTTGTAAACGCACGCGAGAATGTTGTGCGTTCTTTCGGTAGGTTACCCATAAGTTGGGTTTGTGACCGTTTCTTATAGATAGTGCAGACTTTGCAGTCGTGGATGACGGACCTGATCATGTTTTTGACTCGGGGAATCCAATATTGCGTCCTAATGAGACGTAACATTAGTTGGTTTTCCCCATGCAAAGAAATCTCATGGACAAACTGGACAAGAAGGCGAGAAAATCTACAATCGTATGGAAGGATAATTGGATGGCGCTCATTATAGGCCAGATCTTGAGACGCGCCGAGGCGACCACCCATCCTCATGATATCATCTCTATCGAGAAATGGATTAAGGGGCAAAACTTCACTCTTCGCATCGATGGATTCCCCGGATTTCAATTTACTATACTCTTCAAAGTAATGTTGCTTTTGACAGATTTTTATCAAGCGTTGAGTCGTTGTTTTAATTTCATCAGCGGAAATTAAAGAAGTGTCGGCTCGAAACGAAGCTCTTGTTTTTGGATGGGTTCTTTGAAAAAATCTTATAATATATGATAAAACTCTCAAAGCCCTAGGCAATGCTGAAAATCTATCTAAAATATTAGTTGCATTATTTATTTTAGTTGCTGCGTGCACATGCACCCTCTTTTCCTCGACTATTGTGTTGTAGTTTGCCTCTTGTACAGGCCATTTAGTTTGGTCTTCTTGTAACCAAGAAGGTCCCTGCCACCACAAGGGATTGTCAACCAATTCGTAAGCAGGCAGTCCTCGGCTGGCTAAATCTGCTGGATTTGATGCCGAATCCACATGCAGCCAGTTCTTATTACCAACTTTTTCTACTATTTTTGTTATCCTGTGGGCGACAAAGGTCGACCACGAACAAGGCGGCTTTCGTATCCACGCGAGAACGATTGTTGAGTCCGTCCACAGGTGTGCTTTTAAATGTCCCAAGATTTCTCAGTACCGTCTCGATGATTTCTGCAAGCAGTACGGCGCCGCAAAGTTCCAATCGAGGTAATGAGATAGTCTTTACTGGGGCTACTTTTGTTTTTGCCAAAAGTAGACTTACGAAAACTTTTGCATTTTGTGTAACGCGCAGATATACAGCAGCCGCATACGCTTTTTCCGATGCGTCACAGAAGCCATGTACTTCGACGTCATCTGTTGGTGAGAAATGTACCCATCGAGGTATTCGTATGTTATCGATCTCATGGTAATGTTGTGTAAAATTTTTCCAGCGATCCAGGGTAGTTGGAGTTACGGTTTCATCCCAGTCCGTGCCTTCCAGCCAAATACCCTGCATTAGTATTTTGGCTACGATTATGATGGGCGCGAGCCACCCCAGGGGGTCGAAAAGTTTGGCGATAGCTGATAATATCGCCCTTTTCGTTGGATTATCGCTTTCTTCTAATGGTCTCGCCATAAAATAGAATAAATCCGTATGGGCGTTCCATCTTATGCCGAGAGCCTTCACTGCGCTAGTTTCTTCGAATTCAAGAAAATCTTCGGTTAGCAGATTCGTTTTTGGAATGTCTTTCAGTAAATCTTCGCAATTGGCAGTCCATTTTCTTAATGGAAAACCGGCTGACTCTAACACTTGGGTTATTTCATCTCTGGCATTTATCGCAGAGTCAATGCTGTGTCCTCCCGCTAGAACGTCGTCGACGTACATGCATCTTCGTAAAATATTGGATGCTATCGGAGAGGAGTTTTCCACATCATCAGCTAGTTGTAAAAGTGTCCTTATTGCCAAGTAAGGAGCACAGTTAACCCCGAAAGTGACCGTCTTCAGCTCGTAAAGACTGATCGGTTCGTTCGTATTGGTACGAAAAACTATGCGCTGGAACTTAGTGTGATTGTCATGCACCATAATTTGCCGGTACATCTTCTCGATGTCGCTGTTGAAGACATATTTATATAATCTCCAACGTAGGATTAATATGGGAAGATCCGCCTGGAGTACTGGTCCTGGGAGCAGTACATCATTGAGGCTTACACCATTTGCCGTCGGACTTGAGGCATTAAAAACCACGCGAAGTTTTGTTGACGTGCTTTCTGCCTTGATGACCGCGTGACGAGGCAGGAAATAGTTGTCGGAGGACTCTGCTGGTATATTATTTATTAGCTTTGACATATGCCCTAACGATTCGTATTCCGATAATACCCTGTTATATTCCTTTTGTAGTCCAGGATCCTTGGCCAATCGCGTCTCGTTTCGGAAAAATTGTGAGCACGCTCTTTTTAGGGAGGGTCCTAGGCAGACATTCTCTGGAAAATCCTGCCTGAATGGTAGCGAAACTACATATTTCCCGTCTTGGGTACGTTGAGTTGTATTCTTGTACAACTCCTCACAGTACTTGTCTTCCTCACTTAGGCTTTTGCTCTTCTGCAGATCCTCTACTTCCCAGAACGCAGTAAGCTGCTTATCCAAGGCGACTTCGCTAAAGTATGAAGCAATATGGTTGGTTGCACTTGTTGCATCTGGGCGGCCGGTTAATATCCAACCGAACACGGTTTCTTGGGCTAGAAGAGTATTAAGTACATTTTTCTTCAAGCCGCTCAAAATGATTTCTGGATAAATATCATCTCCAAGCACAAGGTCCACTTGCTCATTAACAAAGAACCTTTTATCGGCCAAAACCAAATCTGGGAATGCTTGTTTAGTTTCAGCGCTAATATGGGTAGTTGGAAGATTTCCAGTTAGTTGTGCTAAGACAAGCACAGTGGTATTCGACCGGAATAATGGGTCAATCGGTGACCGTATTTCTATATTGCATGCTTCTTTGACCTGCGCCGATATGGAATTTGTGATGCCGGAAACTTGGGCATGCAACCTTTTGGATGGCAGGTTGATTCGGCGTTTGAGTCTTTCCGTTATAAAGGAACACTCAGACCCGGAATCAATAAGAGCTCTTGCAGAAAAAATCGGTTCCATTATAATGTATATTTACGCGCGCTGTTCCTAGGAGCACACCAGTATTTGAATTTGCAAAACAAGACTTGACATTTTTGTCCCCAGTTGAATTTGGTTTTCCTGTCTTGCGTCTTGTTTGTGCTTGCTTCGAAGAAGATGCTCGATTACCAGTTGAGCTTGGCGGCATTTGGTGCGCTGTAGGCTTTTGCTGGTCAGTCTCAAGGTGCAGGGGCGTGTGGTGTCGGGAGTGGCACTTGCTGCAATTAAACGAGCATGTGCATCTTGACACAGTATGTCTAGACTTAAAACAGTTCAAGCAAGAGTTATTGTTTTTCATGAACTCTATTCTTTCAGATGGTGTCATCTTTAAGAAGCGGGAACAGCTGCGTAACTTGTGCTCATTGGACTGGCACATGATGCAAGTGAACTTGGTCACGCTTGCTTGGAAAACGCCAAGTCGTTTTGGGGAGGCTTCTGCTGGTTTGTGTGTGTGCTGCGGCTTTGGCGCTCTCACAGCTTTGGAATTTTTTAAGCCTGATAAAGTCTCCAGCGTTTGAAATCTGTTGGATAGGAACTTGTCCATATCCTCCCACTTTGGTATATCATTTTTGTGGTCTATGGTTTGTTCCCATAGAGCCAGCGTACTTTCTGGAAGTTTGGTGGAGCAGAGATAGACTATAATTGCATCCCAGTTTGAAACGTTAATTTGGTGACTGTTTAGGGACGATAAGCAATTATTTATATCCCGCTGCAACCTTTTTATTGAGCTACCACACTCATTTTCCACTGAATTTAAATTGAAAAGTATTTTCAGTTGTGTATTTACGAGGATACGCTTGTTTTCATATCTCTCGCATAAACTTTTCCAGGCTGTTTGGAAGCCTTCGTTTGTGAGTGGACACTTTCTCACGATGTCTTTGGCTTCCCCTTGAGTCTTTTGGTTGAGATGAAATAGTTTCTCAACCGGAGTGAGGCGCTTGTTAAGGAACATATCACGAAATGATGGCCATGACAGATAGTCACCCTTGAACACATCGGTATCACACGGAGGTAGGTGGATATTGTGTTCACGGACCGACTGATCCTGTACATCCTTTTCTGCGTTAACAAGCATTTCGGACTGACTCGCCATGGCAGACATGCATTTAACATAGCTAGCGAACGAGCTTTTATGTTTTCTCCTTATGGCCTTAATGTCTTCTTTCGACAACCCTTCTTTGTTTATTATAGTATCATACCCTTGTTTAGTTTTTTCCCACATATCTTTCAGTTCGTCTTGCTGTATTGCAAGACCATGTTTATTTTGCTCTGCAGGTGGCGTGCTGCTAAAATCGGATTCAAATTCGATTATTGCCTCTGCCAAACGAATGAACGACTCCATGTTTAAAAATGGTACTTGAATTAAAATCAATCACAGATAAATTCGACGATGTGCTTTAATATGTGATAGCAACCTTACTCTTAAACAAAAATAAATGCTTAGATTATCGAATTTGTTCGCCAAGTATTCAATAAACGAAAGTTTCTGCCGCTGAAAAAGATACCAACTCTTGTGGTCGAAACGCCAAACAAAAGATATAATTTCCGGAATTGAAGAAGTAGCCGTTAAATTTATATATAAAATAGTTATGGTAAAACTTTATTTAACTCAATATATTTCTCTCTTTCAATTATCAGGGATTGGTATATATAAAAGCTGTATATATGCTGTATATATAAAAAAGTGACTCGCCACCCAACTGCTATTAAGTATGTGTGTAATTTGCAAATACGTTCACAAGACAATAATAATACTCGCAAATTAATACTGCAAGGGATCCACACGCAGAAGTGATTTTGTGAAGAAAGTGCAATTGTTAAAGGCAAATTACCGTGCACGTTTCAAACAAAGAGGTTATGTGTCCTCCGACGATCAGTGATTATAATGTGTTTCGCGAATTTATTGCAACTATTGCCGCACAAGTAATAATACGTTTTACTAACAATAAAAATTAAATCCGTGGTGAAGTAATCAAAAGACCGGCAGAGTCAATTACCTATATTACAAATGAATTGCAACTGATAACCTCTTTTCACTGTCGTTTATGTGTGTATGTGTGTGTATCTTCAATTGTCTGTTACCAGCCGTGGACAGACAGAATCGGTTCGGGAAATTATTTGAACTAATTGAATTAAACAAATGATATCAACGCAACTGAAAATTAATTGACTGCAATTGAAAATGTGCACTTTGCAACCAATCAGAGCCGTCTTTGTCACTCGCGGACAGACGGAATTAGCTCGTTTGGTAATTTGAAAAGCTATGCACAAATTTTCGCTCCTCACAAAATCACCCGCGTGAATCTCGTTTGCAATTGCGTGTGTTTTCTATGCAATATAAATATAGCACAATTGCTCACAAAATAAATAGATTTATGATGTTTTATTTTTTTTGAAAGTGCACTTGAATATGTGTGTAACCACGTACCTTGTTTCGTCGGTGACTTTGGTGTGAGGAAGCTCAATAGAAAGTGGTATTTGTTGATTGATGCACAGGTGCGGTTTGTGATGTCTTTGTTAGGTTTAGGGCAAATCCGTTGACAATCAGGCACACACGCTGTGATTTGAAACCAATGGACTGTATTGATGTAGAAATACCGCGGCTGATGTGGCAAGTATCGCTGATAGATTCAATGGACTGTATCTCTGAAAAAACCGCGCGGGTGTCAAACTTGTGGCAGTGTCCAAAAAACTCGCTCTATGTGACAAGAAATGGCGGTGATGAACTTTAGTGTTTCAAACTCTCACGGCTCAGTAGGACCAACATGTAAAACCCCGGGCGTCGCAAGGTTCGCAATTGGACGCACCAGTGTTTTATAATGTGGAAGAAAATAGAAAAATAGTGAAATAATGGATTTAGTATTTTGTAACGTTTATTTTAATCAACTATTTTCGACAGTGATATATATATATTTATGTGTGCATATACAAAGCGTTTTTGATTACCTTTACGAAGTGGCCTGGTAGCTGCGTTGTGTCCTCGTTGATCTCCAAACAGAAGTGAAGAATATAATTTGCGGTTTCTAAGTTTGGACCGCCGGACAATAACTGACGTGAAGGGGAAACTTAACGAAGGTTCATTGTCCGGCGGGATACATTAGTTAACGGCTTAGCTGTTGTTAATATATACGAGCATGTATGAGTGTATATACATGTACATATGTACATATGCCAGCATTAGGGCGGTTCACCAAAAGTACGAAAAACTATTTAGGCTGAAGGCCTAAACACACTCAGAACGACGTTGCGTCAAAACTACTTTAAATTTAATAACAACGTATACATGCAAACAAACGAGCTAGGCATGGGCAACCCCACATCGGCGATCCTTATGGAGGTAATCATGCAGAATTTAGAAGAAAGGTACATGGAGTATCTTACGTCACAATTAGGAGTGACGTTCTACGCCAGATACGTTGATGAAATCATATGTCTTATAACAAAGAAAAATGAAGAACAGATATTGGAATACCTCAACAAACAGCACAGCAACATAAAGTTCACAGTGGAACAAGAAATGGAAGGAAAACTAAATTACTTAGATCTGACGATCAAAATAAATAAAAACACCAGTAGTCTGCAATATGAATTTTTTAGGAAGCTCACAGCCAAAGATACAATAATACATAACACTTCGAACCACCCTCATCAGCATAAAAAAAACCGCCTTTAGACAGATGATCAATATAATTGAGCAAATCTCACTAACAAAAGAAGGATACAAAAACGAACTGAACTCAATAGTTATATGCCATAGCGGCTAATAACGGATCCCAGAGAGACAACATAATCGATGTTAATATCGAGACAGCGAAGATTAACCTATTACCTGCTTCTAAAATATAAATAAATTACACCATAGCATTTCTAATAATTAATCATCGACGAAAATCACTTTACCTAAGTTAATGAACATAAATTAAGGCCAAAACTCGAACCAGACAGAACGAAAAATGACACTGAAGATGGCACAGCGTCGAAACCGGTTTGTCTGCAAACCAACCTTGACAAGGGATGACGGAAATTCGTTCCAAAATAAATCAGCTTTGTGGTCGCCTAGTGGGATGCGACTTGTTTATCTATCAAAATGAGCGTCTAGTAACTCGAAACAGCGTTTTTTTTTTTAATTTTTAATATATGACCTATTTTAATTTTTATTTATTGGTATTATTGTGTGAGTGTTTCTGAAACCTGAAAATAAAACTCATATGAGAAAGTATATACAATTACCTTTCCAACAGTATATAACGTATATAACATGCCCAACCATAGTTTCATACCCTCGATACATCCGGTAGTTAAGGATGATTAAGATTTTTCGTAGTCTGACACAGCAGGTATTCGATTTTGTGCATCCAAACGCTTTCTTAATAGCTTTGCAGAATTTTGAGTAAAAGATTTGCATACCTACAAGCACAATATTTGAAAAGTAGGGAGAAGATGGGATTTCCCGGTAGTTAAGGATGATTAAGATTTTTCGTTGTACCTAACCACAGCAGATTTGTCCAAACCCTTTCTCAATAGATAAGCACACCTACTCGCGTAACCTATAAGTAGCTATAATAAATCAGCTATAGTTTATGAAGGCAGTATATGGTCATTCTGAATACCAGCTTTTTAGAAACAGTATTAAAATAAAGAAGTGTGTTATTTACATAATTAATATTTTCAATGGCTATGGCTCATAAAAAGGCTAAGCTTGATAAAGAAATGTTTGTTTATTTTTGCTTTAATCCCTTCAACAAAAAACAACACGTATCTTCAGATACACGACGGCTTTCAGACCGCTTAATATCAAAACTCCCTATGCTATTAAAACGGATGCGAATTTATGGATCGGGCAGGAAAGCGTTCAGCAAATTGAAGGAACTACCGACTTCGAAAAGTAATGAGCCTTGTGAAAACGTTATTCTAGATGGAGACGATAATTCTGAGAATGATGACCGAATTTCCGATGACGATGGTTCCAACTTTACTGAAGA